CCCTATCCCCTCGTGTGCCCTTGGCCACGCCTTCCAGCCCCCCACTCCTCCCACCCCCCCACTCTCCCCACCCCCCCCACTCCTCCCACCCCCCCATCTCTTAAAGCTGGTCCAGAGGCTCCACCCAGCTTCCGGCCCAGAGGGGATTCTGGGGCTGCTGCCTGCCCACGGGTGGGTGGAGCTGGGTCTTGGCCTTCCGGTGGGCGGACTCAGGAGGTCTTTAGGCTTCCTGTATGCTGGTGGGTGGGGACGTAGCCTCATCCAGATAGTTGCTTGGCCTGAGGAGTCCCAGTACTGGTGCCTCCAGGCTGTTGGGTGGGCCAGGTTCTGGCGCTAATGAGCTAATGGAGAGTTCCACAGTGGCACCCACCAGCACTGGACCTCCCAGGAATGGCTGCTGCCGGTGTCGACGTCCCCAGGGTGAGCCCCAGCTGCCCCTTGCCTCGCCCAGAGACTCTCCAAGACCAGCAGGTAGGTCTGGCCCAGACTCCTATCAAATTATTGCTTTTGCCCTAGGTCCAGGAGCATGGGAAGTTTTATGTGCTTCCTTTAAGTGTGAAGTGTCTGTTTCCCCCAGTTCTGTTTATATATATAATGGAATATTATTCAGCCATAGAAAGAATGAAATTTTGCCATTTACAGCAACATGGACGGACTTAGACTCTAAGGGCATTATGCTAAGTGAAATAAGTCAGAGAAAGACAAATACTGTATAACATCACTGATATGTGGAATCTTAAAAAATGCAACAAACTAGTGAATATAACAGAACAGAAACAGACTCAGAGCAATAGAGAACAAACTTGTGGTTACCAGTGGGGAGTAGGAAAGGGGAAGGTGCAATTTCAGGGTAGGGGACGAAGGGTTTACCAACTATTATGTATAAAATAAGCTACAAAGATACACTGTACAACACAGAGAATATAGCCAATGTTTCATAAGTATAAATGGAGTATAACCTTTAAAAATTGTGAATCACAAAACAGACACCTGTAACTTATATAGTATTGTGTATCAACTGTACTTCAATTAAATACAAGAAGCATTTGTGAGACAGCTATTTCTACTTCACAGGTAAGGAAATTAAGGCCCAGGGTAGTGAATTATCTGGTCAGCATTGCAAAGCTAGCTGAAATTTTTACAAGCTTTTGCAAATAATCCATAATCCCAATATAATCATGAGAAAAATATCACACAAATCTCAACTGAGGGACATGCTACAAAATACCTGACCAGCGCTACACAAGACTGTCAAAGCCTTCAAGGCAAGGAAAGTCTGGAACCCTGGTAGTTTAAGCAATTGATAGAAATGACAATCACCTGGGAAGCTTTATAATCAATTGTACCTGCACCTGGGCGCCCTTCCTGAGGTTGTGATTCAGTTGTTCTACATTAGACCCAGGGTATTGGTATTTTAGAAAGTAGCCAAGGTTGGGGGAGGGTATAACTCTGTGGTAGAGCGCATACTTAAGCATGCACGAGGTCCTGGGTTCAATCCCCAGTACCTCCATTAAAAATAAATAAATAAATAAATAAACCTAATTACCGCCCCCCACCCCGCCAAAAAAAAAAAAAAAAGGAAAAATAAAAAATTAAAAAGCATCCAAGATAAATAAGCAACTGCAGTTGGGGTAACAGAACAAGAGACATACAGTTATCTCTGGAACCCCATTCCAGCTATTTTCTACTGCCCTAAACCAGAAGTTTGTATTTATGAGAAACAAATTTTTCTGTTGTGAGCTTTATTTGTTTAATATAAGCTGGGCTTTTTCAATGTCATGTGAAAGAACTTACTTTTCTGAAATATACATCATGCATATAGTGTTATGTAAGTGTTCATTAATTTAAACATGCTTATTAATGAAAATTTATTCACTTCACTCATGCTCAGAAAGACCTTATTTTTTCCATTGTCTCTAGAAAGAATAAATTTTTTGAATATCATCAAAACTGTACAACCAGCCCTGGCCTAAATTTTCTGACACTTCTGTAAGCTCTGTCAGATCACAGGAAATATTTACTGTCTCAGATAATTCATGCCCCTTAATGGTTCAAAGCCTTAGCTCGTGGTCTTTGCTTGTCCGGGGATCTTTGTTCCCTTCCTTTTGCCTATGACAAGAAAGTGCTTTTCCTATTCTTTCTTTCCCCACCCCTGTGTCTTCCTGTTCTTGTCATCTTTACTGGGATGGGTTCATTCATTTCTCATTAGCTGTGCCGTGACTCTAGTTCTTGTACAAAGGCTGCCTCTTTACTCTATCCCTCCTGGACTGTCGGTCACTCCCAAATAGCTCTCATTAAGCAGCTCTGAAAAATATAAGGTTCCTGCTAGTTGGAAGTGACCAGGTTGATACTGCATGAGGCAATCTCCACATGGGGGGGTCTAGGGACTGAGACTCCTCAGGACAGTGGTGATAGAGATGATGTAGAACAAAGGATCACATTGAGATCTCTTCCACTCTTTTGAATTTTTCTAGCACGTCTGTAATTTCAGCTCTCCTGAGGAGAATTAATCAGTAAGTAGCGGTGTTGGTAGAGAAGACAACACCATTTAGGAGTAACTCAGGGGAGCCTGTGATCTAGGCAGCTACATGTCTATATCTATTCCTGGACTACTTCTTATCTCAGGGGACCCTTTGGCTAACACCTCTATTTCTATGACTTGAAAATCAATGCAATTATTTTTTTCTAAAATGTTTATAGCCACTGAGCTGAACTTCTTTAAAAAAAATCTTTTTTCACCTATCTCACTCACCTCCCACCCCTCTCCTCAGACAGCCACCAATATGTTCTCTTCATATCCATGAGCTCGTTTTTTGTTTTTGTTTTGTTTTATACTTCACGTATAAGTGAGATCATGCAGTATTTATTTTTTCTGTCTTATTTCCCTTGGCATAATGCCCTCAAGGTCCATCCATGTTATTGCAAATGGCAAGATTTCATTCTTTTTATGGCTGAATAATATTCCATTATATTATGTGTGTGTGTGTGTGTGTGTGTGTGTGTGTGTATCTACACACATCACATTTTCTTTATCCATTCATTGAGGGATATTTAGGTTGTTTCCACATTTTGGCTATTGTAAATAATGTTGCAGAAACATGGTGGTGTATATATCTTTTTAGAGTAGCATTTTCATTTTCTTCAGGTAAATACCCAAAAGTAGAATAATTAGATGATATGCTAGTCCTATTTTTAATTTTTTGAGGAACCTCCACACTGTTTTCCATAATGGCTATTCCAATTTACATTCCTACCAACAGTGTGCAAGTGTTCCCTTATCTACACATCCTTGCCAACAACTATTACTTGTTGTCTTTTTGATAATAACCATTTGACAGATGTGAGGTGATACCTCATTGTGCTTTTGATTTGCATTTCCCTGATGACTAGTGATGTTGAACACCTTTCCGTGTACCTGTTGGCCATCTGTTATATGTCTTGTTTGGAAAAATGTATATTCAGATCCTCTGCTTATTTTTTAATTGGATTGGTTGGGGGCTTTTTGCTTTTGAGTGGTATGAGTTCTTTGTATAGTTTGGATAATCTCTTCTCAGATATATGATTTGTGATTATTTTCTCCCATTCAGTAAGTTGTTTTTTTATTTGTTGATGGTTTCCTTTGCTGTGCAGAAGCTTTGTAGTTTGATGTACTCCTACTTGTTTATTTTTTCTTTTGTTGCCTTTGCTTGTGATGTCAAATCCAAAAAGACCATCTCCAAGACTGGCTGTCCAGTTTTCCCAACACCATTTATTGAAGAGACTATCCTTCCCCATTGTATACCTTGACTTCTTTGTTGTAAATTAATTAACCATATAAGTGTGGGTTTATTTTGGACTCTGTATGCATTGATCTGTGTGTCTGTTTTTATGCTAGTACCTCATTATTTTGATCACTGTAACTTTGTAGTGTAGTTAGAATCAGGGTGTGTGGTACCTCCAGCTTTGTTCTTCTTGAGCTGAAACTTCTCACTGAGAGTGTAGGGGTGGATGGGTAGAAGGGTACAAATGCTCCTTTGAGATAAATGTCACCATGAGAGAAGCCTCTGGATTTGTTTTTTTCACTGCTTGTTGAATCTCAAAACTGGGCTTTGTTCTGGCTAGATCCGTTTATTTTCTCAGAACCTTATGACAAGTTCACTGAAGGGATTGAAAAGCGTTCTTCCAAATGACTGAGACTATTTCATTCTTTATATGAATTTTACATTTTGTCTCCTGAGTAGTTTTTCTCATAGCCAATGGGACATTTTTGATCATTCACTAGTTGGCAAAAATATCTCATGATCAGGATGATCATTTTTCTTGAAGCCCCTGGTCACCAATAGATGATGTTAAGAGGTGCTGCTAAAAAGCACTAGACAAATCTGATGCTGAATTTGATTCCATATTCTAATGGCTTCATGTAAGCCATTGTTCTTACCACACTCAAGTGTTCCTAGCTACAAAGTGGGGAAATTACCTATTTTTTGACAGAGTTGTTGCTAGTTTTAGAAGCTACCATAGCAAGTGTTTCAAATGTAGCCATATTCACAGTGGACATAGATAAATACTCATTGATTTAGATTAAAATTTGGGGTTTTTCTTGGTCATTTAGATCTAGTTTGGGTACACAGATAAATGATCATACATTTATTTACAGAGAACAAGTGTCTTTATTTTATCAGCAGATTTATCTAATCAAAGAAATAACCATTCAATTTTTTAAAACTTATCTGCTTTGTTTGCAGATATTGTCTCTGGAGTTTGTGAAAGAAAGGCAGTAGTTTGGGTAAACTGTCTTTTGACTCTTAAAGAATCAAAACTTTGTATTTGTCATGGCATCAAATACCTGGTTATATAAGTGATTGTGTCCTGCAGCACAGTGCCCGATTTAGGAGTGGTGGCAGGAGTTGGTGAGATCTGGGTGTTTGGAGAAGGGAGAGGAGGCTCTTAGACAAGTAAGGGACAAGGGACAAAGTATCATAGTGAAAAAGGGAATACAAATGTTGACCAGACTAGCCCTTGCAAAGCTGTAAAAGAAGACAGGTCAGGAAAAAAAAAAAGTGTGATAAAGGTAGGAAGAGGCAGGAATTCTCTGTAAAATTAAATTGCCAGGTATATGAATATGAATAAATGTGAGGATTGAGATATTAAGCAATGAGTATCAGGGTGTGTTACAGAGTAGTCTTTTTGTTTTCTATAAAACAATTTCAAGTAACGACAAAGGCTGTATATGATGGGAGGATAGATTTCAAGGGGGAAGTTCATATCTACAGAGGTGCAGAAAGAAAATTCACAGGTCCTGATTTGTGAGAGGGCTTAGTGGATTCCAGTAATGAAAAGATCTCTCTGCCTAGAGCATAGAGAGTTGGAGAGATACAAGCTGGTGATAACTCTGAAGAGACAGGAAGGAGCCAGGGACATGCTGGTCTCCTGGGCTGTTAAGGATTACGGGTGTGGATCTTAAGGAAAAAATGGGCAGTGTTTTTAGCAAAGGTGCAGGTTTTCAACACAAACTCTTCGGGGCTTTCAAAAGTGGCTATTGCCAGACTACCTCCTGGGATACTGAATATCTTGTAGGTCAGATATAGAATGTGAAGGTTGTCCCAAATATTAGGGGTCCGAGTGTCATAAGGTGGGATAGCGGTAGTACATTATAAAATTTGTATTTCAAACAGATCACTCTCGCTGCTCTATGAGGAATGAATTAGAAAGATCGAAAGTAAAGACACCCAGACCATTTAGGGAGATCTTGCAGTGCTTCAGGAAGAGACAGTAAATAGTAGCTTGCCCTAAGATAGAGGTGCTTAAGAAGGAGAGAGCTGAACACCTGCTTCACTGGTCCTCTCCTGCATTGATCAGTCATTGATTCATTCAGTAAAACAATTTTCCTAAGTCCCTTTTGTGTACAAAAATAATCTAAAGTTTTCCCCTTCAAGGTGCTCACTGTATATTTGAAAGACTCCATTAATGTCTTTTCAAGTAATTATCAAATGCTTTTTTGATATTACGGCCTAATTGTTTTGAACAAACTCATTAGTGGCTTCCATCACAGAACACTTTCCTGAGATAATTCTGATACTAAAACATACAGAAATAGCTATTTTTGGTGTGTGTGTGTGTGTGTGTGCGTGCAAAAAAATCTGGGTAAATATGGAGCGTCATTACATCTTTTATCCTTAAGTATTTAAGAGGAAGTTACAAATTCTGTCTTTGCTGTGGAATCTGTGTCTGAAGGCTGAGGTCTGTGTTCAGTCTAAATTGTTTGGTAGGCACTTGCAATTAAATTGAACAAAACTAAACTAACTTATTAAACATCAGTAGTAATTGATTAAGTCCTGAGGTATTTTCCAGCATTAAGTTCTATTCTTTCTATAAGTATATATTAATTTCAAAATATTTATTTGCTTCTATATGAGGCATTTTGCTGAGAGCTCAGTCATTCTACTCTGTTTAATCATCCGTTAAATTGAATCATAAGCAGAAGCCTTGGATACTAGGAAAAGACCAGTGTAGAGCAAACTTTACTTAGATTCTATCCATTTGAATTTGGGATTGAGTTTCCAGCTGAATTCTTACATTCCATGACCCAAATATATGAAGGGCTTCCACAGTTGACCTCTGAGTTTTGTTTGTTGCCGATTAGATGTAGGATTGAATGCTTTTAATAATGTGTCCAGTAATGACCTGCATATCCCACAACTGTAGCTTCTGCATCTTTCCTTTCTCATTTTTCCAAAACGTAACACATTATGTTTCCCTCTCCTTGAATTCAACCACTTACCCTGTCTGATACTACAACCTCTTTCTACACTTGGATCTGGACCTTGTGCCCTATTCCATTGTCTGCTCTCCTGCTATGTTTGTTGGGGCGGATCTCTATATTCCAAGTATAAACTGCTGTCTGAATTCCCTACTGCTCAATAAAGATCCTTTGAATATAAAAGGACTTGTATTCATCACTAGCCTATAGCTTTTGTGCAACCACTCTGATGTCATTTTCATAAAACTATTTTTTGGGGGGTTCTATATATATTTTTTTATCGAAGTGTAGTCAGTTTACAATGTTGTCAATTTCTGGTGTACAGTATAATGCTTCAGTCATACATGAACATACACATACTTGTTTTCGTATTCTTTTTCACCATAAGTTACTGTAAGATACTGAATAGAGTTCCCTGGGCTATACAGTATGAACTTGTTGTTCATCTATTTTATATATGTTAGTATCTGCAAATCTCGAACTCCCAATTTATCCCTTCCCACCCACTTCTCTCCCCTGGTAACCATAAGTTAGTTTCTATGTCTGTGAGTCTGTTTCTGTTTTGTAAATAAGTTCGTTTGTCTCTTTTTTTAGATTCCACATGTAAGTCATATCATATGGTATTTTTCTTTCTCTTTCTGGCTTACTTCATTTAGAATGACAATCGCCAGATTCATCCATGTTGCTGCAAATGGCATTGTTCTTTTTATGGCTGAGTAGTATTCCATTGTATAAATATATCACATCTTTATCCAGTCATCTGTCGATGGCCATTTAGGTTGTTTCCGTGTCTTAGCTATTGTAAATAGTGTTGCTATGAACATTGGGGTGCATGTATCTTTTTGAATTAAGGTTCTCTCTGGAATATGCCTAGGATTGGGATTGCTGGATTATATGGTTAAGTCTATTTTTATTCTTTTGAGGAATCTCCATACTGTTTTCCATAATGGCTGCACCCAACTACATTCCCACCAACAGTATAAAAGGATTCCCTTTTCTCCACACTCTCTCCAGCATTTATCATTTGTGGACTTTTCAGTGATGACCATTCTGACTGGCCTGGGGTATACCTTATTGTAGTTTTGATTTGCGTTTCTCTGATAGTTAACAATATTGAGCGTTTTTTAAAATGTGCCTATTGGCCATTTGCATGTCTTCATTGGAGAATTGCTTGTTTAGGTATTCTGCCCATTTTTGGATTAGGTTTTTTTTTTCTTATTAAGTTGTGTGAGCTGTTTATATATTCTGGAAATTAAGCCCTTGTCAGTTGCATCATTTGCAAGTATTTTCTCCCACTCTGTAAGTTGTCTTTCTGTTTTGCTTATGATTTCCTTTGCTGTGTAAAAGCTTATAATTTTAATTAAGTCCTATTTTTTATTTTGTTTTTATTTCTATTTACTGCCCTAGGAACATAAAAACCATTTTACCAGCTCTGATCCCAACATTATCTTGGGTCTTGTTCATATTCTTGAGCCCTGTGTTGCTTACCAATGATTCCTCTCCTGGTGAGATTCCTTCTAATCATTTTGGCTTTCGACTCTGCCAAACTTAAAATACCACTTCAGATAAATAAAATAAATTTCTACATTTCAGTACCTATGGATCAATAGTTTTAAACTCTATCTCTGTTCATATATCCCTTTAAGAATCTAATGAAAGCTTTGAACGTTCTTTTAAGGAAAAAATACACAGAGAATTTATTTTGCATGTGTTTCCATAGATCTTCTAAAGCCAATAAATGCATCCTTAAAAAATCTTTAATCAGTTTTATATCAAGTAGCCAGAGACCACCTTCATTAGAAACACCTGGAATGTGGTTTAAACTTGCAGTTTCTTTAGCTCTGTTAGAGGCCTACATCATTGATATTTGTAGAGTCAGGAATCTTTATTTTTTACATGCAATCCTGAGATTTTTATACTTCTTAGGATTTACAAATTGCTGCTGTAGTTGTTGGTCTGAAGTATTAGCCATTTTGGGGCTTTGGGAACAGATGGATCATAGACACAAGGTTTGAGAAAGTATAGAAAATAAACAGTCTCAGAAATTGGAAGCAACTCTGGAACTGACTTTATTTGCAGTGAGAAAAGCTAGAAAATAATGTAGGATCCATCCATGATATCTGTCAGACTCATGCTGGCCTCACTCAGTAGAACTCCCAGGGAAAGCCACCGTTTGAAAAGAACTGAAAGTGGATTCTGAGGCTCCAGGTGATTTGGTTGCTGTAAAATGCTTAGCATTTCCCCTCATGGTTCAGACTCAGTTTTCCTTTACTCAACCTGAAAACAAGATAATGAGAGAAATCAAGGACCTAAGAATTGTGGCACCACTCAGAGAGAAAATGTGATTATTTAAAAATCACAAGGGAAAGAGCAGGCCTGGGCCCTGGCTGGCCTGTTTCCACGTGAGCACTTTGCGGCAGTCCTTTCCTGTCCCTGGGCAGGGTGCCTTATCTATAAAATGAGAGAATGGGTGTCCGATGTGCCTTCTGACTTTAACTTTTATGGCCACAGAGGACACTTACCTTTAACATTTTCTTAAGTCTGCAATAATGATTTACCAAACACTTAATAAATTCTGAAACTATCAAAAACAAGAGGGGTATAGTTTTTACCTTATTCCTTCTTTCGTAGGTAAACATTTATTCATTTTGAAAGCTGAGCTATCCAGCTCTTTCTCAGCCACATGTCTAATTTTGAATGGCCTTATCATCATTTTATTTCTTCTAGACAGGGTGTAACTCTCGATGGTTTGCATGGCTTAACAAATCCAACATTTAATGTTGTTATTTAAGTTTAAAATGTCATTGAGTAGTCTACACTTGGTAATCCTTGGGATTCATAATTCTCTCATACTCTGTTTTTTTTTTTTTTTTTTTTTTGCTGCCTTCCACTGCAAAGATGGAAGCTGCATGGGAGCAGGAAGCAGGGAAGCCTGTGTTTGGCTCACCACCTTAGTGCTTAGCGGAATGCCTGTGCAAAGTAGATGTTTAATGAATATTTGGTAAGTGAATGACTCAGCAATAAATTTACCACTCCTTATGAAGCTGAATATATCACAGTCTCTCAGGAAATGACTGACTTCACTGTTCAAGGGTTAAATATGCTTTTATGTTTCCTTTGGACAGACACCCAAGGCACTATTGAGAGAAAACTATGGAGACTTAGAGAAGAATGTTCTTTCATTCCCTTTGCTTCAGAATAGTACTTCCTAATACAAAGAAACATAAAGTCCTCTTACCTTTTTGCTTCGTTAAATATGCAGCGGTTACCATAGGTTTTTCCATCAGAACCACAGACTGGTTCGTAGACAGATTGACATTTTGTGTTTCCAGTCGGGTTCTTATTGCCAGTACTGCCAGTCTGCAGTGATGGGAAAGACCATTAGGTAAATACAGGGGACTAAATTTAATTCTGATATTGTAATAAAACAAATACTTATTGCTCATTAACTACTGATAAAGCATTGTACTGCATCATTTTGTTGACTCTTTAGCTTTTAATCTGTGCAGCGATATGAAAGAAGAGTATATTTTGTCCCCTGGCATTGTCTCAGGCATACAGTGCATTTAAGTGACAAACCCAAAACCGTATGTGGATTAACTCCCCAAGCTGGGATTCAAACCATGAGTTATCTGACTCCAAAGCCCCTGTTCTTACATGTCAGACTGCCTCCACTTTAATTCTTTGTAGACAAGCTTTCCCCTACCCGAGGAAACAACAATTAGGGGCAAGTCATACTGGAAAAGACAAAACACATATGGTCATAATTAATTGGCCCTTTCTCTTTTCTGGTCCCATGAAAGAAAATGAGGCTGAAGGTAGGATTATGCAGAGTTCAATTAAATAGTACCCACACTCTGTGAAATGGACAGGGTTCTCTCTCCCGTTTTAGAAAAGAGTATAAAACTGAAAAAGTTTAAGCAACAATCTAAACACTCAGAAACCTGTTGGTGGTGACACTCAGGTCTGGATGGCAGGAATGTCCCGGGAGATCACTACTTCATGCCAGCTAAGACACAAGGGACAAGGAGGGAGGCGTGGGCAGCTTTTATTAGGAAGGGTATTGAGGAGTGACAAGTTATGAGGTAAAAAGCAAAGTCTCCAGTAAGATGGTGACATGGAGGAAGTGTTCTCCAAAACTATTTTGGGTCAACTAAATGGAGTGTCCAGAATTGCTGATCAGAATTAGGAAGCTGGCACTTGAAAGAGAGCCTGGCAAAGAAAGGTCAAGCACAGCAGGACTCAGAAGGGAATACAGGAGTCATGGATGTGCACCGGTGTGCAAGGATGACTCTCAAATGTCAGGCATTCATTCACTCATCCAACAAACGGATCAAGAGAACCTACCATATGCCCGTCTTGTTCTAGGATCTGGGGTTACAGGTTTGAAAAGAAATGACACTTTAAGGAGTTCATCCTCTAATTGAATTGACAGTAACAAAGCAGTAAGGTACATTCTATGATAGAGGATATCATTAATATTAGGAATACATTCATGGTAAACCAAAAGATTATGTTGTGGATGGCATGTGAGCAAGAGTGATATGAAATGGATACAGACATGTCCAGTCATGGATATGAGGTCCAATCATGAAAAATCTTAAATGCCATGCTCAGGAGTTTGGGTTTTAACTCCTGGGTAGTATGGCAATGCTGAAAAATTTTCAGCAGGGGAGTGATAAACCAGATTAGATTTGTGACATAGAACTACCACCTGAGTGGTTTGTACATTATGGAGGGGATGAAAATGGGCATGAAAGGTAAACCTGGTGGGAATGGGGGCCCAATTATTGAGGGACTGAGCTAGGCCAGTATAGATAGAAAGGCCTGAGTGGAAAACAGAGAAGGGAATGAGATGGAATAGAAGAGCATGACACTCATTAATGATTATAAATGTGTACAAAAATACCACCTGCAATTTCTTCTTTGTTATATCAGTGTTATCACAATGTGTTTGTCATTAGTATAGTGTAGTCTACTATTTCAAATCTTGGGATATAGAATGGCTGAGGTAAGCTTCCTGAGGGAAAAAACAGAAATTAACACTAACCTGAATCTCCATTATATTGCCATGCAAAGGGTTGCCTCCATTTTTTCTTTCTTCTTGATTGTAGAAAGACCTTGATTTCCCTTGTTGGCTAGATAATCCTGGCTTTCCTTTTTGGCTATGTGACCCTGGCTTCCTTTGCTGACCAGAAGATCCTGGCTTCCCTTGCTGGCCAGAAGATCCTGGCTTCCCTTGCTGGCCAGAAGATCCTGGCTTCCCTTGCTGGCCAGAAGATCCTGGCTTCCCTTGCTGGCTAGAAGATCCTGGCTTCCCTTGCTGGCCGGCTGACCCTGGGCCCCCTTGCTGGCTGGCTGACCCTGGGCCCCCTTGCTGGCCGGCTGACCCTGGGCCCCCTTGCTGGCCGGCTGACCCTGGGCCCCCTTGCTGGCCGGCTGACCCTGGGCCCCCTTGCTGGTTAGCTGACCCTGGCTTCCCTTGCTGGTTGGAAGATCCTGGTTTTCCTTGCTCGTTAGTAACTTCTGGATTCTCATTTTGGTTACGTTGTCCTGAATTCCCTTGCAAACTCTCAGGCCGATTGAAAACTCCTGTCCTCCCTTGCTGATTAAAATTCCCTGGTTTCTTTGGCTGGTTAGAATGCCCTGGCTGTCCTTGTAGACTAAATGTCCCTGGTTTTCCATGTGTGTTGCTACCTCTTTGCTTATTAGATTCTATTTGACCTCCTTGATGGGCAGCTTCATTTTTTCTTTCTAGAATAAGTGCAGGTTCTCCACTCTCTTCTAGTTTATAAACACTTGTTTTCAGTGGCTGGGCTGAAGATACTGCAATGATACCATAAGCACAAAGATAAAGTTATTTAACTTCAAGAATTTTAAATCAATAGCATTTATCCCAAGACATAGTATGTGTTTAATGCCTCTTTGATTTTTTTTAACCAAACCTCAGGATGGAGTCTTCCCATTACCTCTCATAACCTGATTATTTTGAGTCCTCTTTTTTTTTCTTGACTGTACTACATGGCTTCTAAAAATAATGGGGTTAAGCCACCTTGCCCTATTTCTAAATCAGAGCCTGAATTATTTAAACTGGGCTTTCATATTATCCCAAATAATTAATGATTTACTGATTAATCAAGCTGACTCTGCTTAATTTCTACTGTAAACTTTCACCACATCACAGAACCCTGTCCCACATTGTCAGCCTCACCTTACAGAAGATGCCATCATCAACTTTCCACACACGAAAGCTGTCAGGCATGAGCCCTCCTTCCACATTCTTTCTATATCTCCATACACACTTTCTGTAGCCATCTTCTTTCTGCCTTCCCCCGTCCCAAAGGCAGTGGTTTCCCTTCTTCTTCAGAACCTACTTTTTTTTTTCCAATCAATTTTATGTCCACCGTTTCTCATAAAGGCCCTAGCATCAATCAGTCAATCATACTCTCCAGTGTTTGCTTCTCTCTTTTGTGAGAAAACTACTCAAGGACATAATAGATATTATGTGACTGTTTCTTAAAACATACGTTCCATAACTTGTCTACTCTATCTACTTCTTATGTTTATTTTGGAAGCCCATCCTTTTATAATGCATGCTAGGCATTTGCTTTACCCTGAGCTCTACCCACCCTACTTATTCTTATTTCTTAATGCTACTGCTTCAACAGCTCCCTAAGTGGCATTTCTGTGTGACTTTTCTTACATCTAATTCATTTTCAGTATCACTGCAGACTAATATTCCTTAAGAGAGTGGGTCTGATCACCTCTGTACTCAACAATCTGAAACAACTGCAATGATTTCAATGAGAGGAGAACCACTATTTCTTGTGTTCCAACTATGAGCAGCTGAAGGTTGTGGGCACTTTACTTTAATTATTTCCTTTCAGTACGTGTAAGAAAAAAGCTGTTCAAGTAGGAGGTCAGAATTTGGAGATAAATTGGAATTAGTTTCATGTATCATAGTTTATCATCTTGAGAAATCTATTATCTGTATCATTTATTATCTTGAGAAATTTGTATCATTAGCTGGAAATTCACATCTCTGAAAATAGAAAACCTAACTGTGTTGAGGTAACAAATAGAACTAAGTTGAATCAGAGGCACCTACAAAGAACTCAGGTAATGGTCATAGAGTTAGCATACACACAGTTCCTATAATAACCTGTGGAAATGTATAGTTATTTTCATTTTGCATATGAGAAAACTAAGGTTAAAATAAGTAAGCTGCCCAAAAGCACATAAGTAGAAAATTGAAAAGCCAGGATTTGAACCTATTTCTGTTTGACCACACGACCCTGGATCATCACACAAAACCGCAGCCTTTAAGGAACACAAACTCGGGTATGGCACAAATCTCATACTGTCTTTATTCCGGGTCTGTTCTCATCATCCTTTTAGACTGCATTTTCTTTCCTGTCTAATGTCCTGCTTTCCCCATTCCTTTGTCTCTGCTGCTCTTCAGCCACACCAAACTATTCCCTGTTGTACCACCTGATCACGATCATTATACCTCCGTCTGTATTTACATTGTCTCAAATGACGTTCTTTCATTTCTTTGATAGAGACTTCCTGTTTTAACATTTCTGACAGAATATTACTAAACCACTCAACATTTCTAATTCTTTGAGAGTTGGAAGGAAAGTCATTGAATAAATTTTCTTACCTGAGAATATGGCTAAGAATAGGAAGGGAAGGAAAATGAAAGCCTCCATGTTGGAGCCTGTTGTTTCAGAGCTGGCCGTTGAATGGAGTTAAGGGTAACTCCTCAGCGGATGCTTTCTGAATAAACCATGCTGATCGCCACCATGTTATATATTTGAAAAATCCTCCACCCTTATTGCTAAACATTGTCATTGTGTTCAAAAAAATTACAGAGTAACTTTTGCAAACTGGAAGGTGTTGCTTCTTGAGTAGATTGTCATTTAAAAAATTAGCTTCACGCCCCAACTCCCATAAACATCCAGCTTTAAAACGCTTCTATCAGATATCTTTCTCATAGAAAAAAATAAGAAAGGCGAAACCTGTCTGAGAAAGTGGTAAATTTGGTGTCCACTTTTTTATTGGGAAAAGATGACTTATCTTCAGTAGGTGCCGTTAGTGACTTTCCAAGTTTATGTGTCTCCAATAGAGAGTCCCAGGGTTATGTGCCAATTATTTACCTCAAAATATATTTTAAAAGCAAGTAGAAATGCATGGAGTATTGGTCACTAGTAAGTGACGAGTGCATCCAGTGGGGAATAATAATGAACAATGTACTTTTATGAAGTAACAAGGGACAATGGATCTCATGTTCGAGCAAACATTACGCTGTTGGCCTTCTCACCTCAAGGGATTATGCTAAACAGAAGCTGATGTGAATATCACCTTGGAATTTTTAGTCAGTCATAGACCCAACATTATGGAACACTGCGGTATTGTATTCAAGATTGGTTGCCCTATATTAAGAGAAACTTGAATTAATTGAAGCATGTCCAAAAGAAGATGACTCTGATAATCTGAGGTCTAGAGATGGTACAGCATAAGGTTGGTTGATGGCTGTAGGAAACAGCCTTGAGTAAAGACTGACTTTGGAGTGACATTACCATTGGAGTCATCTTCTGAAAGACATTTGTATGGAGAAAAATGATATTATTTGATCTGCATTGTTCCAGATGGCAGAACTAGTTCTCATATGAGGAAGTACAGGGTAAATTGGAATTCTGAAGAAAATTTCAGCTTCTGGAAGGGCAGTGAACTAGATGATTCTTACAACCCCTCCCATCTAATTCTAAGAGCCTCAGATTGAGTGATTCTGGATTGTATTTGATTTTTAGTTTATTTAGAAGGGCAGTTTTGAAACTAGTAAGTTATTTCTTTGAATGAAGCCAGCAATTTTAAGGCGTCAGAAAGGGTAAGTTTAGGGGGGAGGGATAGCTCAGTGGTAGAGCAGGTGCTTAGTGTGCATGAGGTCCTGGGTTCAGTCCCCAGTACTTAACATTAAAAATAAAAAAGAAAAGGATAAGTTTAAAATTTTTCAACAGTAAGAAGGCAACTTTTCCCCAAAACATAATTTTTCTCTGTCCTGATTGGAATTTGTATGAATGTCAGAAGAGGCTAATTGAACCTAAATGCCTTGGATTTTATGCACACACACATATATAATATACTCCATATAATATGTGAATTTTTTGTCTTTTTAAAGATCAGACAATTTTTACCAAAATTCTATTGTGATGAGTTTTAGAATACAGACAAGTTGAAAGAATGAGCAGTGAAAATGCAAGAAAATACATCAAGATTCTTCAATCATATTTTGTTAGATTTGTGCTACCATATATATTGCTCAAAATGGGCAGATTTGATACAAGTTATTTTCACATCCACACACTCACGTATAGAACTCAATGCAGTCAATTCTCAAACAGCAACAAATGGACCACAGTAGCTGCATCTGCAGTTTGCCTCAACAATTGCTTCTTATGTACTTAGGGCCCTCAGCTGTCCCACCAGCCCTTTTTATCTAACTTCCGTGCTATTATACTTTAAAATAGCACATATAAATAACACACATGATGAGTGCCTTGTATGCGAGGATAGCGCAGTCAGAAGACAGTCGATGTGGTGAAGGTATAGAGACTGCCTGGGTGGATTGGCTGAAGGTACTGTTGGTTGTGATGAGTAAGACAGTGCACTCTGTGGACCTCTTCTCTGAACCATTCCAAAGGGCTTTTTGAATAATTGTTTTTAGTCCTCCAATTTTCTGAAATGGGGTGGTTAATTTCTCCTTTGTGGTGGGAATTCTCCCGTCTTTAGAATTGTCTTGCATTACTGTCTTCCTTTACACTTGAGAGTAAGGTCAAAATTCTATCTTGGCGCAGGCTCAGAAAATGCTCACCACAGCCACTTGTTAGAGAAGGGGAGAGGATGTCTAGCATATTTCAGAGTGAGATTCTCCATCAAGGCTCTTCTTTCAGCAGTCATCACATTTCTATGGAAATAGTAACAATTTTGACTTCAATAGCAGTGAAGTCAGATGACCTGAGGTGCTGGTCTCTCCTCTTTTTTAGCTCTATGATCTTATGCAAGTTAAACTCAGTTTCTCCATATTCCTGTGTTTCTTTCTTATTTCTAAAATCATGATAGTAATTCCCAACTGAAGGAGTCAAATTCTGCTAAGTCTGCACTTTAGTGATCCTGGTTTCTGGCTGTGGGCTGTCTTACAGCATTGTGTCCAGTTACCTGATTTAATCTCAACAAGCCATTTGTCATGCAGCTACAGGGAAAGGGACTTTGAACTCTCTGTTTGCTTTCTTCTAAATATTTTAAACACTGTTTCCTGCTAATTCTCTCTCAGCGGGGAAACATGTCAAGTTTTGTTCTCTGAACCCCAGGAGGTGTATAAAGTTTAAGCACAAAAAATAGAAGGCATCACCCACATAGCAACCTACATAGCAAGTAGGTTGAACTGAATCCAGCAGACAAATTGAATATTTGGTCTGGTCTTTGAAATATAATTCATATTACATGGAAGACATAGTGTGTCTTAAATTCTGTGTCACATTGCCAAAATTGTCAGAGGGAGCCTTGCCAATTGGTTACCAAGTCTCATTAAATACTTTACAATATTAAGAAAGAGACCAAATGTCAAGTCCTTAAGTAATCACTACCTAACTTAAGGCCTTTTGCCATTTCTCTGTTTGATCTTTTAACCTAGTCTTCACCCCTGTGGAGGCATTAGTTTCAGAACACTTAGTCCTAGAAGGTGACTGATACTTGAGATAGAATCTTAAATGTCTTCTTCTCTGCTTTGGGTATCAATTTCTTTATTCAGCACACAATGGCTTCATGCAAACTGAAACTCAGACATACTCAGTTTCATCATTATTTATTGAGTTGATGCATATGTAAGACACACACACTAAAATGTTCCATTGCTGTTAACTGTTGTTATTATGCTCATGTGAACATTTGAGATTAGAAACATGACCTCTGCCACCTTCACTTTAGTTGAAGACACTTAATGTGACTAGAGAACAAAAAAATATAAAATAGTGCCTAATGATAATTGTCATGAACTAACTTTGTTATAACAGGTATTTATTGACTTACTCCTGAGACTTTCACTATGTAGAAATCTTTTGATATGCAGGAGTACAAATTCTAGGGCTAGAATCTGAAATAGTCTCTTTCTCACCCCCAAATTAACTTCCTCATCACCAGGATAAGTAATTACAATGGCTTTTTAAAAACCTTCTCTCCATACTTAAGAGTAAACATGTTATATAATGTGGTCCCATGTTGATCATCAGGTTGATTACCTTTAGCCATTTGGGTCCAGATTTTCTTTTCTTTTTTTTTTTTTAACATTTTTTTTATTGATTTATAATCATTTTACAATGT